TTAAATAATTTTTCCTATTTTGAGTCATTCACATTTGATTTTCCCATGTCTAATCGTGAAAACCTAAACTTTGAAATCTTGAAGGCAAAACCACCTGATCTTAATCGAGAGTTTTCTTAAATGACTCTCAGTCATTTAAGATGTAATTAACTATAGGGGATTGCTTCTATAGGGAACCAGGAACCCAGATAAAATAAATCTTATCTAATCCTCGTATTAGGTAGGGGAACTTGTTGGCAAATAAGACAATTTCGCAGACTAAAATAGATGTCACAAATTCGTTAGTTTAGGTGATTGAATTTCTATTACAAGTGATATATTTATTCTTTGGAATAAGTGTATTACTTGTAGTATTGTATTCAATTATCTAAATTATTTAAAATGTGAGACTTATTTGATCTCACCTATTTTAAAATTAAAATGTTATTTTTAAAAAATTAAAAGGGTTATATTTATATTTAAATTATTTTCAAAATTACAAAATCATTCACTTTTTCAAATCACGAAGGTTAAAAAAAAAACGGCCGACAGATATACTTCAAGAATTACTTTTAATAATTAGTGATAGAACTTTAATTTTTATCGATCAATTGTCTATTCCCATCTTAAAAGTTTTAAGCCCCCAGGTCAAGTCATGGCAACATTTTTATCACAAAACATCTTCATGGATTTCTCAATTGAATGTATTAACTCTCCAAGTAGCTTAAGTAGCAACATGCATTCACCGTAAGCCATGGGATATAGCTCAAAATTTAGCTTCTACATAGCCTATTGCTCCAACTGATTGTTTGTGGCTCCATTGATTCTAAGCTCACTAAACCCTACAGAAAATTAGGTAAATATCTAATTTTCTTTTTTTTTTACTTACATTGTTTAGTTTAAACAAAAATAAACAAAGTAAGCAAACCGATTTTAGAAAATTAAAAAGAGATGATGAATTTGAATCCAGTAGCATTGGAGGCGTTTTCGTTTTATTATTATTATTATTATTATTATTATTTAACCAGAATCATGTTATTTGTTTGCAGCTTGTCTCGAATTCTGCGAACAAACAAATAGAACAACTACTGCAGCAGTTTACCTCAGGCTTCTTGCCAATCAGCTCATCCGCCAGCCTGAGACACTGATTAACATCCAAAGTCCCAACAACAACGCAGTCTTTTCCATCAACAGAGAACTGAATTTTCTAAAACAGTAAATGAGATTCGAACCCAAGATAATAATATAAGATTTCAAAATTAAGAAAAATCTGCAGTAACATTTCAAAAGCGCAGACATTATCATAGAAAACAAAGTATTCTGCATGTCCAAGAATATAATATGATTCCAATCTTGATTTTTATTTGAGGAAGCTTGGTGGCTGAGAGATCAAAAAGAAACAATGCCATAGAGATTGCATGTATACTAGAAAGCATAGGGAGAACAAATCTAAATCATTATTTTATTAAATTTAACGAATGGATATCTATTGATGAGCATATAATTGGAAAATAAAGAGAACAGAAATGCGGGTATCTTTGATTAAGGTAAAAAAGAGAATATAAAATTATAGAAATAAAACAATATGCAAGCAACATATTTAACAGAAAAGCATGTTCCAAGAAATCAGGATTGAAGGATCCAACATAAGACATATAAAAGTACCAGTACTGAAAAAACAATTATCAATCTAAGAGACGATGTTTGATTATATGTGTGTGTGCACCTTTTTTTTTTTTTTTTTTTTAATTTTGATCTTTTTTTCTCATAAGAAAAAAAAATCAATTTGTGTTATATTAGATTCATTCTTATAATTAATAATATATTCATTTCTTTTCTTAATTAAAATATTTGCAATAACAAAATCATAAACTAAATCAAAATCTAATATGGTTTTATCGTTTTCATTTATCAAAAACAGTAGCCACCATGAATATTTCTAAAATATTCCACCAGTCTACCAATATGTTCATTTAAATCTCCTCCAATAAAATTCTTTCTTGAAGAGATATCATTTGCATTAATTCTTCAAGGTTATTCTAAAATTTTCTTTTGAACCTATATCCAAACCTACCTAAGGAGCATAAATATTGATAGCATTAAAAAACTTAGTATCAACAACAATATCAGGGATATAATTTTATCTCTAATTCTATCAATTTTTACAATGATATCTTTCAAATTCTTATCTGTAATTACACCTAAACCATTTCTAATGATATCTTTCAAATTCTTATCATTTTTTACAATGATACCTATAAGAGTATCTAGATTCCAATATTTTATCTTGGACTAACTTCTTTGTCCGTTTTCATCAATAATGTGAGAACTCTTGCTTATTTAATACTACACTGGGACACCAGTGTAACATGCACATCCGTAATTTGTTGCTTTGCAGAGCAGTTGTAGTTAATTTAGCAGTGGAATACTTCTGCCACGAGATTCATCCTAATGTTACCATGCACTAGCAGTTCACTCAAAATTTTGTGATGGGCTAGCCAAACTTATATGTATTCAAAACTTTTGTTACATCCCGACTACATGGCTTGGAAGAAATCAATTGAAATTTGATTGGACGGTGTGAGTTAATAAAATTAGAATTAATGTATAAAATTATAAACATCATTTTAATTATATTTGCTATCACAGCTCGGCCTGGGAGCTCAGAATACCAAGATGGAAACAAATGATGGACAAAGGAAACTATCTACATATTTTTATTTCATAATTAAATTGTATCCAAATTACAAGAGTTATTTTATTTCACAAAACTTTAATTTACAAATAATTTGTATATATTTTAAATTTCTACTACTTGCAAAAAATAAAAATTGAAATATACTACCTATCAACTTGAGCTCATCGGCGTTTGTACAAATATTTTCTAGGATCCATAAATTATAAAGAAGATTTTTTGAAAAATGTCAGCACTTAAAGGTGTAAGTTAAACTATTTAGTGGATAAAATATCTATAGATTACAATAATTCTCATTTTTAAAATATTTTTGAAAAAAAAATCTAAGAAATAAAAAGGAAAACAATAAAGAAATTATTTTTTGGTTACCTTTCTTTATTTCAATTATAATATATGTCATTAGGAGTCATCATCTAAACATATACTAATAAAATATGTTTAACATATTTCAAAACCTTCAAAAAATGTAAATAACCATTTAAACTTACATTTTTACATTATAATGTACAAACAAATAGTAATGTATTCCAAGTCAATAGTGGAATAAAAATTATAATAGGGGCATGATGAAAAGTACATGTCACTAAGCTCCAGTTCCTTCTTCATGAGGTAATTATCGTTGGTGTTTGTTAAAAGTTTTGATTGTTTCGAAGTGATTTTTAATTTATGCAATGAATTGCTTAGAAGCAAGATGCTAGTTATATCAAAATCAAAAGCACAAAAAACAAAGAATACCAAACTAAAGCAAATATTTTCATCCAAATAGATAATAAGCAAAAAGAAAATTCTATATACCTTGCATGAAGAGCATAATTCAGCAAACGATCTCAATGAAGTTGATGATGGTAACGTAGCATTTATACAGCTAACCCTTTTAAATCCTATCTTCTTTCCAGCAACCCGCTCTTTCAAAGCTTCATACTCTCGCTCTGTTAGATACTTTTTATAATCCTAACAAAACTTGTTAAAAGGAAAACACAATCAATTCCAAAAAGAAAAAAAAAATAAGCCTATAATTGTACAGTAGGCATAATTCAGTAGAGAGGCAAAATCAATGGTTATCAAGAAAACTGATAGAAAGGGGAAACACATTTGGAGCCTTATAAAGATTGAAGAAAGCTTAAAAACACCAAATAAAACATATTTGTTGTAGAAGGCTTAAAACCAAGCCTAGCTGGCCAAAACAAGCTCAAACACCATGACCTAACTAAAATTTTAGGCAATTAAGCTAATGGGCTATATTCACAATGGCAAAACCATAAACTTTTCCAGCAAAGATACAAATTGATCATTTTAAAAAAAATTTCAATCTTTTTATTTGGGCTTGAAATCGACATTGACAAATTTCAAAACTTCTTGTTTAAATTTGTCAATATAAAAAACTAAAATATACGAAGATTAAAATAAAATTATACTTTGTAATGCATAATCTTCATATTTTGAAAGATCAGTACAATCAAATATTATCTCACGATAAATAACACTAAAATGTATATATATATATATATATATATATATATATATATGTTTTATGTTAAGAAAGAGAGAGGGAGACAAACAAAAAAGAATTGGGCTCGTTCTATAAAAAATGATCTTGATTTATCAAAGTTAAATGAAAATATGACACGTAGGACACAATGGAGAAAAAGGATTCATGTATCTGACCACGTTTAGTCGGATAAAGGCTAGTTGTTGTTGTTGCACACAAGAATTATGTGTTATGTAAATCCTTCAAAATATAATTTATACTTTAAAATTAGTGTATCACAAAATTATTTTGAAATTTGAAAAGGGAGAATATTAAAATTTTAACCCATCTATAAAAGAATAACAAGGTGCTCCATTTTTTAAGGAAAAAAATAGGTTTCAAATTTTTTAAAATAAATATTCAAATTTTAATTGATTAAAATGAATGATTTTTTTTTAAATAAAATGTTAAATTTTATTTAAGTTGAATAAAAAATGGCCATTTAAAACAAAAAGTATTACATCAATAAAATTTAAAATCTATTTTTAATTCAAGTTTTGAAGTCGAATTAGCTCACATATAGAACAATTTAAGAGTAAATATTTTAAAAATTATTATTTAGTTAGACTTCAAAAGATAGCCCCCTTGAATCTGTCAGTGTTTATCCAAGCCCCATCCTTGAAAAACTCATCAAAAAGTTAGACTGAATCATGTTCCAGAAAGTTGCATGGAGTCATATTCCAAGTTTACACCAAAAATATAATATCAAGTTTACACCAAAAATGTGTCTACATGAATCTCAAGACAATTTAATGGACTAGATCAAAGAAAATATAACGAAGATCCCCCCTGATGTAAATCTATAAGATCTCACGAATCCAACCGATCGAAGGCCACTCGGTCGACTTATAGTCAGCCCAGCCGACCGACCGACTGAAGGTCAGTCAAATGACCAAAGGGTCTCCCAAGCCAACAAGGTACAGGCATCCATGTCGATCACTCTAAAAGAAATGATCGGACAAAGGTCTACCACCTCCAACAATCTAGTAAGTATCAACGCAAAGCTCTCTCAACGGCTCCCCCCCTCGAAAAAAGGCATCAAAAGATCGCTAAAGAATAATAATTAGGCAAACTGACCGGCTACCTGAAACACAACTGATGACCCCACTCAAGAAACGACCGGCTTCCCAGAATGAAAGCTTACTTGTGTCCAGACGAAAGTCAGCTGAAACCAGCTCAGTCGGTCTACCCAAAGACCTGCCGAACAAAAGATCCACGCATACAAAAAAAATCAGAATACCCTGTACAACCCCTCTAAACAGGGGTAAAATATGTAATTTTACATTTTGTCCTTCTCTCACGAATAAATAGGGGATCATTAAATGTATTGGTTGGGTTGTTAACGATCCGATTTCGAGCCAAGTTGAGGTAAGCTCAAAATCAGCTTAAAAAAATTTGATCCAAAATTTTGGCTTATTTATTTCGATCCACTGAATTCAGCCAAAAATTCGAATTAAATTTCGAACGATTAACGTTCTTCGAGCTAAATTCACTAAATTCATAGACCTAACATCACTAGGCCTCTTAACGATTTGATTTCAAGGCGATTTGAGGCCGCTCAAAATCGGCTCTAAAAAAATTCAAACAAAAATTTTGGCTTGTAACTCGGCTCATTTATTTCGATCCGATCTCGATATGAGTCAAAATTCGAATCAATTTTTGAGCGATTACCAATCTTCGAGCTAAATTCACATCCCTTGGTATTAGGGGCTTTTGGCTGTTCTTCCTATACCCTTCTTCTATAGGGAGTCTATCATTACTCTTTTAATCTCTATATTCAATATATAAAATGGATCATAAGAGCTAGGGAATACCCCAGGAAGGCAAATAGTTGTGCAGTCTCTCCTCCCTCTCTCTCCTCCATCTCTTTCCGTCTCACCTTTTTGGTACCTATCGCTCTAATCCTTGACATGCTTCACAGAACATTCAACACTAGGGTTTACGGTCTAAGCTTTTAGCCACTCATAAGGCATGTATTATGGCCTTTTAAATTAGCTATAATAAAAGGATTTAATAAAATGTTGATATACTAACCAAATCATTACAAAAAAATTAAAAACAGTACTAAATGCACAATTCTTTTTTGTCAATGTTCACTCTTTTTGCCAATTACACGCGAGCTTAAGAATGAAATCTTGTGCGTCTTAGTGAATGAACCATGTGACTGAAAATAAAAACAAAATGATTACCATTTAAAAAGCAAACTGATGTGATTCTTTCATGACAAAGCAGTCGAAATAAATACAAAATCAGATGAAATACATTCATGTAAAAGGATGTCAGATAACGAAATAAAATAAAGAGAAAAATCATTGTAATGTGACCATTATTCCTGCAAACCAAACAAAGACAAAAAATTACATTTCCGTTTAATTTCTCTTGAATCAAACAAGTGATTCAAAACGAATTTTAATCAATTCCTCAACCATTTCCAATTCCAATTCCTTTTCATTTCCTCCCCGTCCATTCTTTTAAACCAAACAAAACCAAAATTTCTCACAATTAGGAGTATGCAGAACTCAAGTTCACACAGACAATCCCTCTGCACACAAACTCAAAAACTCGAGAAAAAACTCAAAACCGTTACGCTAAAACATGAATGAACAGAAACCCAGAGAAAAATAAGCTATATCCCAACTAAGGTCGGCTAACCTCAGCTCCACAGGACTGGTTGAAATCACCCTCTGCACGCAATCTCAAAAACTCGAGAAAAAACTCAAAACCGTAACGCTAAAACATGAATGAACAGAAACCCAAGGAAAATAACCTATATCCCAACCAAGATCGGCTAACCTCAGCTCCACAGGACTGGTTGAAATCGTAAAAAGTGCGAATGCGGAGTCGAACGGCGGCGTGAAGTTCTTCATCTAAGAAGCACTCGTTCAAGGATGACAAGCTCAAGTCAACTCCAATGGACGCCTGTTCACGGAGGTTGGAAGCAGCAAGCCGCCGTCTGAGCGTCCTGCGCAAATAGGGCTGCTGGCTTGAAGATGATCCCTTAGAAACAAATACGATGCGATCAGAAGTAAGGTTAGGGTTCGCTGTCAAGACTCCATTAGCGGTTGAGCTGGAGATGGACACCGAGAGGCGATGGGATGGAGAGAGCAAGGCCATCGGCGCCCTTCTGGATATCTTGGTCTCAGTCTAGCATGGGATGTTTGGCTGCCTATTATAATTAGATTCCAATAAATTCATATTTATCAAATTAAAATAATATTTGTTTGAATTTATGAATAAATTTATTGAATTCATTTATGTGGTTACCATAAATTGGCTTTGTAACTTCCTTCTTAGGCTAAATCTACTTAAAATTGAATTTCATAAGTCTAAAAATACATTAAATAGATAAATAAAGGGAAGAGAAATTAGATTTAGCGAAATATGAATTTAATTTGCTCAAATTTTTTTTTTATTTGATTGAATTTATGTTAAATATTATGTAAATACCACTCAAGTCCAGCCACCAAACATCCCCTAAATTGATTTCTTTCAGTCAAGACTATAAATTGTATCGTGATAGCTAACACTAAATCTACTTAAAATTGAATTTCATAAGTCTAAAAATACATTGAATAGATAAATAAAGGGAAGAGAAATTAGATTTAGCGAAATATGAATTTAATTTGCTCAAATTTTTTTTTATTTGATTTGGTTTATGTTAAATATTATGTAAATCCCACTCGAAGTCCAGCCACCAAACATCCCCTAAATTGATATCATTCAGTCAAGACTATAAATTGTATCGTGATAGCTAAGATGTGGCGCAAAGCGGGCAGATCAGTTGTTCGGGACCTGGAATTCAGGGATTTGAAGGGACATTGGGTGATAACTGATTGCTTGGAAGTTAGAGTTAGTTTGTCGGCGAGTTACTGTGACCTGAGAACGGGTGGTTGTCGGTCGATGAGGGTACCGAACCGCCCTTTGCTATTAGTGAGGTGGGGAGTGAAATTTTTTTTAAGAATTATATATATATATATATATATCACTCACCTCTCATCTATTTATTTCATATCTATTTATCTATTTAACACATGAACATTAAATTTTACATCACCTTCCACATGCATTAAAAGGTGTATTTCACATTTTAAAAGTTAAAATAATGACACTTTTGACATCATATGAAAGATTTGGGTGTAATAAGTATAAATATTAAAGTTTAGACAATAGATTTGTAATTACATAAGAATTGGGTGGTATGTATGTAACTATTCCTTTTTAAAATTGTAAATTTCGAAAACTTGAAATCATTCATTGAAATCATTCAATGACCTTGGTCGAATGGGCTAATTAAGCTTGAAACTTATGGAGCCATGTAGTAGACTTTAAAATATCAGTCAAGGCACCATCTTTGTCTTTCCTTTTAAATTAGTCTCAATAAGTTAGAGAGAACCAAATAAAGTTATATAGATGTTTGGTATAACTTGATTTGACCCATTAATCAAACCAAATCCTAATGGGTATATTTGATCTTACACGACCAAATTTATATAATTATTCAGCTTTATTTTTCTTAATGCTTCAAAATTTTAATATTCAGTCATTTAAGACTTATAGAACCAATTTTACTAATTCAAGTAATTGACTCATGACTAATATTAAATATTTAATCAATCAATTAAACATATATTACATGTCCTTACTTAACTCATGATTAAGCCCAATTACAACAAGTGATTTGTTTGACTTCATTTGACACAAATGGACCTTGTAGATCAAATTGACTAATTGGATCAAATTATTATAAACAATACTCACTCATTATAGATGCTTTAAGTTCAATAGTCCATCAGTTATGTCAATTGACACTAACTAACTCAACCAATATGACCATGTTAATCTCATTTTTTGTCATATACGACTCACACAGACATCACCTCATGGTTCAACACAACGAAATTGGCCAAAAGGGCGCCCTGTCCATTTTGGCTTGGTGTGGCCGCGCTAGGCTTGGGCGTGCCCCAAAGTACATTTGTGTGGTCACGCCATATCTAGGCTTGAGCACACCCAGACAAGTCAAGTCAGTGATCTATGGCCTTTGCCCACATATCGAGCCTCAACTCGTCGTAGGCAGTGATTTGTGGTTCACTATCCGCCAGGCTGGTTTCCGTCTTCGGCTCGCCACCTCATCGGATGACTCCGGAGGGTCCTGTCACTGCCTTCCGCACCCATAAAAGGGTACTCTGAAAAAGGGAACAGAGATGTTCGGGTACTGCTAGCATGGGAAGAAGAAGTGTAGAGGGAGAAGAAGAAGGGAAACTTCCTCCTCTCCTCCCGGCAAATTCTCTTTCTTTCCTTAACTTAAGCCTTTTTATTTTAAAGTTTAACCCTAAACCCTAAAGTCAGTCAACTCAAAGGCCTTGGATTAGGCTTCGGTTTTGGCTCGGCCCGAACCAAGCCTAACCCAAATTCACCTAAACAAACCTAAACATGACCCAACCAAACCTAACACAAACCCTAGACCTCACCCAACCTAGGTCTAGCTCAAGCCAAACCAAAACTCTAGACCTAACCAAACTAGACCTTGCCTAGACCGCCTAAATCTGAATCAGGTTTAACATAACCTAGATCTGACCCGACCCAAACCAAATCCAACTTGGGTCAATGCAACTTAATTTTGAGAAAACAACAAAACAAAATAAATAAAATTACAAAGAAGGCAGCAAATAACAGAGCTAACCATCGAGCACACCAACAAGAGCACCACAAGAAGAAGATGGTCAGAGAACCATCGAAGAGGGTGAGTGAGAAGGAGGAAGAGGAAGAGAAAGTACCCAAACTTAGGGAATATTTATAGAAGCTTAGAAGGAATGGATCGATGACGAGAACGAATAACTCCCACAGATGGTCCCCGATGACCGTCGATTGAAGCAAATTTTGATGATGGTGTTTCCATTGATGGTTACAGCTCCCAAGGATCATCAGGGGCAAAACTATGCGACAATTGGTTCTCAAGCTTGAGCAGAAAGTTCAACAATATGGTCATGTCTTCGGGTGGTGTGACTACATCTCCCACTAAATTGTGGCAGCATGGTCATTTAGCTAAGTGGCATGACAATGTCGTCGAAAAAGAGGGGCAGTATGGTCATGCCCAATTATTTTTTTGTGTGGCCGCACTAGAAATGGCATGGGCATGCCCGGGATGGCGTGGTTACGTCGAAAAGTGGCATGGTCATGGCACTAATGGTGAGAACTTCAATATATTTTTATTCATTTTTAACCTAGGAATCTTTCTACCACGGAATATCTTCCCACAAATAGAAGTGGTCCCCAAGTTGCAAAAATTTGGATCAAATATGTGGGCCCCTCCCCAAAAAATTTTGAGATTTTTGATGAGAGCTATAATGGACTTTAAATTGGTCACCTTTGATATTCTGAGCTTATTTTGACTATATTTTGAGTTTGAAATTGATTTGAGTTCATTTTGAGGGTAAAATTGTAATTATCATACAAATTATCCAATTTATCATCCAAATTATTGTAGGTTAAATGAGTCTAAAAAACGGAGTCCAACATGGGAACGAAGAGGCTCATTTAAAAGATTTTGATAGTCTATACACATTTGCAGAGTCTGTTTTGCAAAGCAACACTTCGTTGAAATTTTTTTACGTGGGATGAATTTTCATGCATTAAAGCTCATCATATAAAATTTATTATAAAAAGTCGTCCGAAAACTACCAAAACTTATTTCATGTTATTTATGTATTGATAATGAACAAAATGCAAATCGTAGTAGGAAATTCCAAGCATTATAATGACATGTAGAGAAAAAATAATTTCAGAGCTTAAAAAATGATAATTTCATAACATTACCTCAACGAGCTGCAATTTAGTCCAACTTTAAGATTTGGTTGAAGTTGATTATATTTGATTTTCATTTGATGTGTTTTGCTTTAAATGTTTGTGGTGGGTGAAGGCTTGACAAAAAGTGAAGTCAACATACCCGAGCCCTTCAAGTGTTAAATCTCCATTAATTAACCCTTTCAATTATCATAATGACCTAAGTACCAAATTAAGCTTAACAATGCTAGCCTAACTAGCCACAATTCTTCCCAAGGAAGCTACACGAAGCTAAAAGCACATATGGGGGCACCTCATTGGCCACCCACCATTTTTAATTATCCACATGTCCAAAGTTCATTAGCTTCAAGGTTTGACCCTGTCATGCCTAGAGGCTTCTTAGAGCTCAGACCTAGCCCCCATGCCTATAAAAACACCCCTTGAGATTCCATTTTGTTGTTACAAACTCATTGTCCATTCATTAATAATCATTTTCTTACACCCATTCAACATCCCTTTATTTGTTTCTAAAGCTTTCCCAAAATCATTAGCTTTCTTCTCTGCACCATCCCGAGCCTAGCCATACAAAATTTTCCCTTAATTTCCCAACACAAAACCTAGATCAAATCAATTCACCTCATCCATCCATTACTCCTTCAATCTATCGCTAAAGGATTCCCAAGCCCTAAAACCCAATCCAACCTTAAAATCCCCTCTACCGGATCCTTTTGAACCACCCCTTTAAAAATCGAGCAACTTTGTGAGTGACTTCATGGATGGAGCCCTTGTTAATCAAATTAGAGCTAGAGGACCTCTCATGGATACAAGATGATCGTTTCAAACCACTCAAATCAAAGGAATGCTTCTAAGATCAATGTATAACACTAAAATTAGAATCTTAGGCTCAGTAATGGTCATTCATGAAGAAAAGTATAAATCCATGGAGTTTTGACCATAGGATCTAAACCTAAGACCTAGTGATTTTTTGGGATGAAAATGATCATATAAACTTAAGGCAAAGCACATGGATCGTGCACAGTTCTTTGGTTGACATAGGTCCATCGTCCAGTTTGCTTCCATGTATTATGGAGCAAATGACAGATATCAGATCGTGCAAATATCTGAGAAAACCTACAGAGCATTAGATCACAATCCTACTTAGCGCCTAATAATTGCTTCACCAACCAAACAAGGGTGAATGTTTAAGTCATGAATCCAAGAAGGATACGTGGAAAAGTAGAATTGCGGAGGAGCTGTCCCGATGGCTTGCGTGGATCTCTTAAACACATATTTAGATAAATAATTTAAATGAGAAATTAATAAAAAAAATTTAAAAAATCATAAAAAATTCAAGGAAATTCACAAAATAAAAAGA